AATGTACCAAAAAGAACTAGTCAATGTTCAACCATTTCAGGAGGCAGCATATGATCAAGAATTAGTGGTACTGAAGGAAGAAGTCCAAGCTGCTCTGAAGTCACTGCCAGAAAACAAGGATCCAAGAATTGATGGCATATCAATTGAAATGGTTCAACAAATGCATGTAATGTTAGATGCACTCACTGTCTATGCCAAGGAATTTGGAAGACAGCTACTTGGTCAAGCAACTGAAAGAAATCCACATTCATGGTCATTCCAAAAAATGTCATCCAAAGGAATGTGGAAATTATCTAACAATATCATCAATATCACATGCATGTAAAATTATGCTGAAGATAATTTTAAAAGGGCTGCAGCAGTACATAGACAGGGAACTGTCAGAAATCCAAGTCAGATTCAGAAGAGAATGTGGAATATAGGATGTTGTTGTTGTTGTTATGTGCTGTCGAGTCGGACCAGACTCATAGTGACCCCTCCTTGTGTCACCGAGAGAGTATCACTACGGAAGTAGATTGCCCCATCTTCCTTCTGAGGAGTGGCTGGTGGGATTGAACAGCCAGCCTTTTGGTTAGCAGTCAAGTGCCTTAGGCAGTACGCTACCAGAGCTCCTAGGAATATAGGATATTATGCTGATGTCAGATGGATCTTGGCTGAAAGCAAAGAATACTAAAAAGATGTTTTCCTGTCATTTATCGACTATGCAAAGACATTTGATGGGTGGATCATAACAGATTATAGATAACACTGTAAGGAATGAGAATTGAAGAACACTTAATTGTCCTCGTAAGGAACATGTACGTAGATCAAGAGCAGATCAAACAGAACAAAGGGATACTACATAGTGTAAAATCAGGAAAGGTGTGTGTCAGGGTTGAATCCTTTCATCATACTTATTCAATCTGTATGCTGAGTAAATAATCCAAGAAGCTGAACTGTATGAAGAAGAATATGGCATCAGGATTAGAGGAAGATTCATTAACAGCCTGCAATATGTGCAGATGACATCACTTTGCTCACTGAAAGTGAAGAGGACTTGAAGCACTTACTCATGAATTCAAAGACCACAGCTTTCAGTATGAATTACACCTCAACATAAAGAAAACCAAAATCCTGAGAACTGGGCCAGTAATCAGCATCATGATAAATGGAGAAAAGATTGAAGTTGTCAAGGATTTCGTTTTACTTGGATCTACAATCAATGCCCATGGAAATAGCAATCAAGAAATAAAATGACATATTGCTTTGGGAAAATCTGTGTTAAAACACAAAGGTGTAACTTTGAGGACCAAGCAAGGGGCATCTGTCTCAAGTCATGGTCTTTTCAACTGCCTCATATCACGTGAAAGCTGAACAATGAATAAGGAAGACTGAGGAAGAAATAATGCATTTTAATTACAGTATTGGTGAAGAATAATGACTACACCATGGACTAGCAGAAGAATGGACAAATCCATGTTGGAAGAATAGTGCCTGAATGTTCCTTGGAAGGGAGGATGGTGAGACTTTATCTCACTTACTTTGAACATGTTATCAGGAGGGACTAATCCCTAGACAATGACATCAAGCTTAGTAAAGTAGATGGATTGACACAATGGCTGCAACAATAGGTGTAATCATAGCAATGACTGCTAGAATGGTATAAGACTGGGCAATGTTTAATTCTATTGGACATAGGGTTGCTATGAGCCAGAACCAGTTTAACAGCACCTAACAATAACAATGACTAGTAGCACTGTGCCATTTTGAGCATTTATATATCTTCTTTGGTGAAATGTCTATTCAAGTCCTTTTCCCCATTCTTAATGTGGTTGTTATTTTGTTTTGTTTTGTTTGCTGTTGTTAAGTTGTAGGAGATTTTTATATATTCTGGATATTAAACCCTTACCAGATAATATGGTTCCCCAAATTTCTCTCCCAATCTTTAGGCTGCCTCTTCACTTCGCTACTGAAGTCCTTTGATGCACCAAAGTTTTTAGTTTTGATGAAGTTCCATTTATATATTTTGTCTTTTGCTGCTCATGTTTTTAGTGTCATATTTAAGAATCCATTGTCTAAAAACTAGGTCCCAAAGATTACCCCTATATTTTCTTCTGAGAGTTTTAAGATTTTAGTTCTCACATTTAGTCTCTAGATCCATTTTGGGTTTTCATACACGGTATGAGGTATGGTTCAGCTTCATTCTTTTGCACGAGAAGGCCAAAAAACATACTTACCCTTTCTGGGGTAAAAGACTTTCATGTACCCTATGTTACATGGCCTCTGTCTTTGGATCTGGGGGTATAACTCTTGGAGTAATTTGAATTTGCCTTGGTCTGAGATCTCCAAGACACACCTGAGGATTTGTATTGTGAAGTGGGGTCTGGCCAGAGCAGAAAAGACTCACTTAGGAGGCCAATATCAATCAGCCTCAGGGAGGCATGATTTAGCCTGTCATGGAGGACTGGTCAATAAAAGCCTGGGATACTGAGGTTCAGGGAGCTTTCTGGATGCTAAAGTTAGGATGACATACCCTTTCTGAGACACGGCAGCTCAGCATTTTGAATCTTCCCAGCTCTTGCCTGTACATCTTTTCTTTATGTTGATCCTAATTTACACTGTAAACCCTTTTAGTGTAAGGTCCTTTCACTCTAATAAAAACCAATAGTCATAAATCATCTTCTGTGAGTTCTGTGACTTGTTCCAGTGAATTAATCAACCCAAGGACAGTGTCATCTTAACTTCTAAGGTCTAACTTAGCCCAAGGTAGCTAGAGACAGAAGAGAGAGGGAGAGAGCAAGCTATGTGGGCAGCTGGTGTTAGAAATGATGGAGAAGTAGGAGGGAGTGTAGGGATATGATTGCTCTTCACATTCTGGAAATTGCTTTACGCTGATTCTCACTCACAAAGCTATCATCATAACCCTAGAGCCTCCAGCAAGGAACAAAGCCTTGCTGACACCTTGATTTTAGCCTAATAAGATTTGTTGGAATTCTAACCTACAGAACTGTAAGATAATAAATTTGTGTTGTTTTAAGGCACTAGTTTTTGGGAATTTGTTACAGCAGCAACAGAAAACTAACTCAGCAGTATATTCCAAAGATATTTAGATTCAGGGTGAGAAGTTCCATTTTTTCCCTAAGTCATAGTCCTTAAAAGGAGTTTTTATATAGCTTTTGCATTGTTAGAGGAGATAGGAAGGGGAGATTTAAAATGTTGGATAGATGAGTAAACTTGGTTCTTTACTTCTCATTTGACTAGAAATCTTTGTACAATGCCTTGTCCCACTGTCAGAATCCAATGGAGAGAAGAGACACTTGGCACATTGTATCTCTTAATTAAAATTCTATTTTTCAGAAATTTTACTCATCTGTTTGCTCTGAAATAAATATTCACAACATACCAAGTGAACTGGTTTTATCAGTAAAAATAGTAATTTAGTAGTATAAAGATTTCTGCTTTTTATTCTCAAAGCAAAATGCAATACTCATAGGGCCACTATTATCATTTATGGCAGGTCAGTTCTTTACTGAACAGGACCATCCCACATACTACTAAGCATTAAGCATCCCTGGCCCCTGCACACTAAATCCAGCGGTCCCCAGTACCACAACCCCATGTCCCTATGACAACCGAATACACCTAACACACATTTCTAAATGTCCTCAAAGGCATACCACTTCCGGTCAACCTGTACAGTGTTAATTAATAACGAATCTAATCTACCTATTGCGCTTTGCCTGCCCTATTCCAACAAAACTCACTTAAGGGTCATATATACCATTCCAGCAGAACCAGACATATTTAAGGCTATATATTTTACAAAGAAAAATAATGAGATGATTGGTAAAAAGAAAAACCAGTAGGAATAAGAGGTTGGTTTGTTCATTGAACTTTGTTGTTATGTGCCGTCAAGTCGGACCCAACTCATAGCGACCCCTCCTTGGGTTCCCAAGGCAGTGTCACTATGGAAGTAGATTGCCCCATCTTCCTTCCAAGGAGTGGCTGGTGGGTTTGAACCGCCAGCCTTCTGGTTAGTAGTCAAGTGCCTTAGCCACTATGCTACCAGAGCTCAGCTGCTGACCAATTTATCTGACAAACTAGAAGAAGATATAAATCTATAAATCTGTCATTTAAATTCCCCTTACAAAGATAATACACCAAAAATATAATCAGAGCTCTAAAGTATGCTAAGAGTCCCAGACCACTCTCATGAATTTCTGGAACTGTGATTGGGTCTGGGCTACTCCAGTGTCTGCAAAGAATCTTGCATTTTATTTCTCACTATACCAAGGATTAAGAAATAATACAGAGTAGAGGATTTCTTATTGCCTCAAGTTGAAAATATGCATTTATTGTTTAAAATAAAATCAATACTTCAGATTTACAACTGTTGTTGTTGTTATATGCCGTCGAGTCGGCCCCGACTCATAGAGACCCCTCCTTGGGTTTCCGAGGCAGTATCAGTACGGAAGTAGGATTGTCCAACCTTCCTTCCGAGGAGTGGCTGGTGGGTTTGAACCGCCGGCCTTCTGGTTAGCAGTCAAGTGCCTTAGGCACTATGCTAACAGAGCTCCTAGATTTACAACTAGTGGTCTTTATCTTACTGAAAAACAAATTAATTTGTGAAACCAGCTGTGAAGGGTATCACCACATGCCATGATTCAGTGGCACAAAATCAACCTGAAAGCTAAGAATATAGAAAGTGTAGGTTTTATCAATCTCTCAGGACATGCTCTAAGAAAAACTAAAATAGTTCTAACACAACAAAAATTAACCAAGAAATGGTAACACAGATGGTTTCCTCTGTTGGCTTTTTTGAGCTGGCATTGCTCAGCCAAATAGCATCTCAACTTAGATTCTTTTGCTTCCTCAAAAAGATTTCCTCTAAACATCTTTCCATGAAAGATGCCAAGTACACCTTGCTAAAAGGAAAGGAATAAAAAAATATTTAGCATTAGCATAGGAGAAAAGAAAAATAAAAGGAGTAGGTGAAAAACATGACAATGAGAGGAACTTACTGGGCAGAAGTAGGTGTTCTCCACAATGTGATGGGCTACCATGCTGTTCTCAGCAGAAAGAGACATGATAAAAAGCAAAGCATCCCGAGCCTGCTGGCCTACTGTCCCCTCCCGGTGAATGAAAGGAATCAGAAGGGAGAAGATGAGGAAGTTGGCAGCTCCTTGGTCCTCACTAGTGTGGAAGAAGAGTTCCAGAATGGATGGATCTTTGGCAAGGATGGAACAGAGCTGATTAAGCAGGACAACCAGCTTGCCTTCCACAGCGGGGGTAGATGTTCCTGAACAAGAGCTCAGCAACATCATCAAGGGCTTCAGAATGGGCTTGTGGTGCAGAAGAGGCTGGTGCGACTGGGTGACCAACATCTCATACATCTTTAGCTGCTCAATTTTAGTCTCATCAGTAAACTCCCGTCTCAAGCTCCACAGGAAGAGTTTCTCCATGATATTTTCAGATACCACAAATTCCAGAATTGGTCCCATTGCAGCATCCTTGGCTTGCTCTTCAATCAGTAAGAAGAGCATGTGTTCTACGTAATTCTGCACAGCACTGGCCTCATCTGGAGGGATAGATCCATATTTTGCCTGAGTATTCTTCAAGGGGTCGTGTTTCTCTAAGATTTTCACAACCTGTAACCAAATCAAACATCTGTCATCCATCTGATGTTTATCATAATTACAAAAACACACTACCACTGATTTTACCAAACCTTCACTGAAAATGCAGGAGCTATGGTTCAAAACAAAATATATATGAATGATGTGCCCCTCTCTCATGGGAATAAAATAAAGGGATGAAACTATAGAAAGAGGTTTGAAGTCCATTTGTAATAGTTATAAATTTTGGCTTCCTACATATCAAAGAAAGTAGAATGGTTACATAAATTAAGCTATATATATTCTTTGAACTAGTATTGTGAAGACTATTTAGCAACATGAAAAAAAGTAAATTAGATGAAAATAAAAGTATATCATTTGTAGATATGTATATATATAATTATTAACTATCAAAAGTATATGTAAAAAAGACTAAAAAGAAACATGCAAAAGGAATATTTTTTGCGTTCAAAGGGATAACAATTTCTTAATTTCTTTCCTAAACTATCAACAATAATGTTTTTCACTTTTAAAATACATGTAATAAATAAAAGGAAGCCTGGCTACCACTGTGTTCTCCTACAGATAGACCTTGAGAGTTAATTTGGAGATTTCAGAAGGGAAATACAACTACTCATATGCCCTTGACAGAACAATATTCCTGCCTCCTCTGTTTGGATGGACACCCTCTTCAACCAAGCATGCAGCATTAGGAAGGATGAAGGGAAACTAATGAACAAGTAGTTTCATATGCCTAACATATGGCATATATTGCAACTTAAAAAGGAAAGTTTGGACTCTTTTTTTTTAGTCAGAAAATATTCTGAGAAAACCACTTATAAAATAAATGTCATAGTTCTGTTTCTCTCCCTTACCACTGTTGGCATTTGAATGCTCTCTCCACCAACTGATACTTTCTTCTACTTAGACCTAGGAATTAAAACAATTTTCTATCTCAACTTCCATTTAACTTTGTGACTTGGAATGTTTCACACAATACCCATTCAATGCACTTTAAAATGTATATGGTAATTTTAAAGCAGCCAAACATTTTATTGGCAACTTTATATTTGTTCCTTTCAGCCTTCCTGAACTGCATGCTGTACAGGATATGCTTGTTCTTTGCACTACCCATCCTAACCCAATTCTACGATGTGCTGTTACAGGTTCTATATTTAGGTTATACAATTTTTGCAAGTCACTGGGGAAGCTGGCAAATGTACAATGCCATGTCAGCATGCACAAGCAATGAGGAAAATTTATTTCTCAGGAAAAGCTTAAGTTTCTCCCCTGTCAGAAGCAGGGCAAGGAAACCTTTATAGACCATGCAAGTAAATCCCTACAGAATGAACAAATTTCCACAAAATCTGTAATCATTATTGACTTCTATAATCAAATGGATAACGCTGTCACAGAGGGAAAAAAATCACCCCAACACCCTTGAATAGGCATTTTTAATGAAGAAGGACTTTGGTTAGCAGCTACCCAGGAGGTACAAGGCCCAGTGGCTGGTGGCACCCATTCTGCCACTGGACATCCTCTTCTTCTGTGCTGCACAATGGACTCCGGGGTGCCCCATCCCCCACACTCTCTAACACACTGTCAAAACAGGCCTGACAACTCACTGGCAACAACTCTGGGACCTGGCTCTCCTCCTTTCTTTTTGTTCTGGGCCTAGATAACATCTCATAGACCGGGATCAGAGTAACACTTGCCAAGAAGGGGCCCTCACCTCTATACAACATGCTCTCCAACCCCAAAAGTCCCTAACTTCAAGGCTCCACATTCTGAAAAACAAATTAGCTACAGGCTGTACCAGTTGTATAATTTCAAAGTCTACACATTGAGATTACTTATGAGAGAGAGCTTTATAGCCAGGCTTCAGGGTAAAAAATGTAATCATATTTTTCATGTGTGCTTAGACTGTCTAAACTGCCCCAAACTGGGATTGTGCCTTATATATTGATAGGGTCACAATAAATTAGCTTAGTCTTTCTGAAAGGCAATCTGGCACTATGTAACAGAAGCTCTAAAATTGTTCCTGTCCTTTGACTTATTAACCCCACTTTGGGGAAAATGCAGCAAGGAAACAACTCAAAAATAATTTGTTAAAAAATGTTCATACCAATGATATCTTCAAATAATGAAAAACAAAAATAATACTGACCCAAACAGTCAAGAATCAGACAATTATAATAAAAATGTTACTTCATCATACAATAAAGCTACTAAAAATTATTAAACAATTTAAGTTAAAAATATATTGACAAATGGATGCATGATTAGAAAAGAGTCTGGAGAGATATAAATAATATTTTAAAGTTAATTACTAGGTCTTTCATATAAATCAACTGAATTTCATAATACAAATGAATAAAAATGAAAGTAGACAATATAATTTTGAACTAATAATGCCTTTAAAAAAAGAACAGAACACTGAGTTAAAAACAATACTGGAAATTTGTTAATTTTCTGAATTCCTAACTGCATATATATATTTTTAAATGTTACGTATTCACACGCATGTATATGTATATATATACTTATTACATACCTACTATATATATGTAATATACAATAAAACTATTTATACAATCACAAATTAATTTTTCTCATGAATTAATCTTGTTATATTATTAATCACAATATATTCCTTTGCAAACAGACCTACATTTTTTTTTGCTATGAAAAGCCTCAAAAAGTGAACTGAAATTTTCATATAGAATGCAAATTGTTTAGCAGTTTTTTTAACTAAAGATCTTTATCTTACATATACTATCTCTTTTATGTTGTCTTCTGGATTAATGGGCAGAGATACATGAATATAAAGCTATAATAAACCACACAGATACAAGGTTTGCTAATCATCTGGAATGGAGCAGACATATTAAGGGTCCTTTATTCATTCCCGGGAGCTCTGGTAGCATAGTGCCTAAGGCACTTGACTGCTAACCAGAAGGCTGGCGGTTCAAACCCACCAGCCACTCCTCGGAAGGAAGGTTGGGCAATCCTACTTCTGTAGTGATATTGCCTCGGAAACCCAAGGGGGGGTCGCTATGAGTCAGGGTGAGGGGTCAGGGTGAGGGGTCGCTATGAGTCAGGGCGACTCCATGGCACATAACAACAACATTATTCATTCCCAGCACTGGTCCTGTGGTTTTATTACCTGGAAGATGGGTGTGTTACAACCCATGCCTGTGAGTCAGGGAACAAACAGGCAGTAATCACCAAAGTGCTGATTATCCCTTTATTGCCACATGTTCTTAATCTCTTTCCTTAGGTGTCAGGACCCTCCCAGGCCATCACCCTTTCCCTTCTAGGCAGACACACCCATGACTTGCCTTTACAAGAAGGCTCTGGGTCCCCACACCCTGGACCTGGTTCCTACCCTAGACAGGCCTGCCTCAGAAACTTCTTGTGTAGAGCACAGCTTGCACTGAAATGTCAAAGAATTTCTGTTGTGATGTCCCAGGTTTGCCATCCACACATTATAAAAGCAGTTTCTATTGACTGATTCCCGGCACTACTTGGACTATCTTTTTTTTTTTTCCCCTTCTGTGTTCTCTTCTCACATTCCCGTCACCAAACTCCACTATTCCTATGTCCCCCACTTCTGCTTGCTATCTAATTTTACCTGTGTGAGGCTGAGGCCAGAGTCCTAATAGCCTCCAGGGAAATCTTTAACCAGAAACCTTTTAGTGCCAGGGATTCTAACAAGTCTTTTAATGTTGAGGATTCTAAACACTCCCTAGGGCCTTTATCTACCCTCCGGTCTCAGCAGGTATCAGAGATTTCCTTCAGATTCAGCATGCATCAGAGAAGTCCTCCGGAATCAGCACGTATCAGAGATCTGCGTGGCTCCTGAAGTCTTCCACTCTGCATCCTCCCTAAATAATAATTCCCTAAGTAGACTTTGGAGCCGGAGGTTCCAACACGTCCCCCAAAACCCCTTAGCAACAACCAATCATCTGTACCCCTTCGCCCTGGTGCTACTCCACCCCATATTTTTCTATAAAAATGTGATAATGAAGGAGCACGGGGTCTTTTGCTAAGGCCACTGAGTTGGCAAAGAGCAAGGACCCTAGCTTGAGCTAGCAAATAAACTTTCCTTTTGCATTTGCATTGTCGTGTGCTGGCAAATTCCTCGCGCTGAACAACTCCTTCACAACCTGGGCACAACACCTGCTTACCAACTCTCCTCACCTTCTAGTCCTACAGACGCTATAGTGCCATGCTGCTCACAGTGGCTTCCCCAGGCCTGGCCCACTCTTGTAATTACTGGCTATTTTATACTCTTAATCTTGCCTCAGCTATCCTAACCCCAGTTTCTCCTCAGCTACCCACTCTCAGTCTCAGGAATTCAGTTCTGGGAAAAAATACAATCAACAGAGCTGGAGGGATCTGAGTAGGGAAGAGAATAAAAGCAAGTAAAATATGCTTTGCAAATATTTTCTTTATTAGATACGTTCACTCTGTCAGGCTGAAAATACCATTTAATGAATTAATCAACCCCTGATGAAGGCTGTCTGTGATCATTAATTAAGTGAATCCGTTGAGATGAGAAATAGTAATGTTTTGCGGATCATAGCTAGGCATTTGTTGATTATAAACTTTAACAAAAACAGGCTGGTATATATGTGTGAACCATGAGCCTGGATCACACATAGATCCACATATAATTCACCATAATTCTCTTTTAAAAAAAAACCTTTTATTGTAATTTGGATTAAATTTTGCAAAGCAGATTTGTTTTACGTTCAACCAAAACCAAACTCACTGCTGTCAAGTCAGATCCGACCCACAGCGACCCCTCCTTTGGTTTTTGAGGCAGTATTACTACAGAAGTAGATTACTCAATCTTCCTTCCATTCAACAGCTCACCACATTTTGTTTTGTAACACTGACTACAATCCCCACAATATAACAGCTCTCCTCCCATTTCTTCCCCGTAGTTACCCTTTTCCTGTGGCCTTCTTGCCTTTGCATTCCTGCCTCCTTACCTTTCTCTCTGTACAAATGCTGCCCTTCTGATC